GTGCCTGTGGTAGCGCCGGGCCTGTGCTTCCCTCCCCCTCGTTCTAGTGTGCCCCGCAGCTCCGAGGAAAGCCCCGGGGCACCTCGTTCTCCGACGCGGGCTTCTCCCGGGTACCGCAGCATCCCAGGTGTGCTGTAAACAGCAACCGCCTCAGTGACCGGGGTGTCTGCGGCAGGGGGCGGGGGCTCGTGGCATAGTTACCTACCTCATGGCAGCTCGCTTCGGAGGTGGAATGTTTGCCGCGTTGTACTGCCCTAGCAAGAGAAAAGAAACCTTGCTTTTCTTCATCGTTATTCTTTAAACCAAGGGGAGAATGAGTCCTACCAATTCCTGGAGCCTTATGTGGGCATGAGGTAGTTGAGGTTACCACTCGAGTGCTGTGTGTGCCTGTTCATGTTACATCGCTTGTTGTTGTTTTAAAACAACCTCAACCTTAAGCTACTTTTAAGATGCTGTGCTGTAGATTACACCAGCTCAGATACAGAATTGAGTAGTTCACATAGTGCAGACTTGGAAGATTTTTGTAGTGTGATTTAAGCAGATGTGACAAAATAGTATCTCTACTTCCAGCTCTGTAAAACATGAGTTTCTTCGATGCAAATTGCGGTGTGATTGGAAATGATCCTTTCAAAATAATGTAGAACTTAAATGAAACTTTGGTATTGCTTAGTCCTTCGCTTGAATACCTAATAAAAGTGCTTCTGTTGGTTATACCAGCCCATTAATGTCAAAGTAGCAGTTGGCAGTGTTCAGTGCATGTCTCAGATAATGTGCTTTTGAGGGATTCTGTCCAAAATAGATGTTCTGATCGGTACATGGATGATTTTAAGTAACAAGCATGACTTAATGCTCTTAATCATTGTAGAAAGCAACTAAATGAACTTTCGTTTTTTTTGTTTCTTCTTTCTCTCTTTTACTGCAGTGTGAAAAAAATGGAAGTGTCAAGAAGAGAAGGTCAAATCAGGCAGATGTCGCTGACAGTCTTCGTCAAGAAGCAGAAACATGCTATCAGCTTAGACTGCCTGAAGACTTTTACCAGTTTTGGAGGTTTTGTGAGGAGCTAGATCCTGAGAAACCAAGTGGTGGGTTTTCAAGTATTTTCTGACTTTCACTCTCAAAACCAGCCTGAAGACAGGCAAACTTGAAGTGGTCACATGCATTCTCATCATAGAATCAGATGGGTTTGTGCTGGAAGGGACCTTAAAAACCATCTAGTTCCAACCCTCTGCCACGGGCAGGGACACCTTTCACTAGACCAGGTTGCTCAAAGCCCTGTCCAACCTGGCATTGAACACTGCCAGGGAGGGGGCAGCCACAGCTTCTCTGGGCAACCTGTTCCAGTGCCTCACCACCCTCATAATGAAGAATTTCTTCCTTACATTTAATCTAAATCTACCCTCTTTCAGTTTAAAGCCATTCCCCCTTGTCCTGTCACTACATGCCCTTGTAAAAAACCCCTCTCCAGATTTCTTGTAGGCCTCTGTTAGGTACTAGAAGGTGGAAATAGGGTCTCCCTAGAGCCTTCTCCAGGTTAAACAAGCCAAACTCTCTCAGCCTGTCTCTACTAGAGAGGTGCTCCAGCCCTCTGAGCATCCTTGTGGCCTCTTCTGGACTTCTCTAGCAGCATCATGTCCCTCTTGTGTTGGGGGCCCCAGAGCTGAACACAGTATTCCAAGTGGGGTCGCACAAGAGCAGACTAGACGGAGAGAATCACCAGCTGGGCACTCGCCTTTTGAAGCAGCCTAACACATATTTGGCTTTCTGGGCTGTGAGCACATACTGCTGGCTGATGTTGAGCTTCTCATCAAGCAACACCCCGAAGTCCTTCTCAGGATTGCTCTCTGTCTCTTTGTCCCCCAGCCTGTATTGGGGGCTGCCCTCACTTATATGCAGAGGACCTTCCACTTGGACTTCTTGAGCCTCATGAGGCTCACATGGGCCCACTTCTTGAGCTTGTCTAGGTCCCTCTGGATGGCATCCCTGCCCTCCAGCCTGTTGACTGCACCACACAGCTTGGTGGTGTCGGCAGACTTGCTGAGGGTGCACTCAGTCCCACTGTCTCTGTCATTGATGAAGATACTAAAGTACTGGTACAAATACAGCCCCCTGAGGGACACCACGCATCACTGGACTCTATCTGGACACTGAGCCGTTAACCACTACTTACGAGAAGTGTAGTAACTGAACTCTTAAATGAAAGCTAACTGAATAGAAGCATGTCTCAGCTTTCTGTGTCTGTTAAGCAGAGTGTCTGACTGTTTGGATTTATGGAAGCTTTTGATACCTGCATGACATAGGACCTTGGTTTAGATCTGCACCCACCAGGAAGTGAACCAGTTCATGCTTTGCTTTTCAGATGCACTTGTGTCAAGTGTTGGACTTAGGCTGGTTGGACCATATGATATTCTTGCTGGAAAACACAAAAAGGCAAAATCAACAAATCCAGACTTCAATCTTCATTGGAGATTCTTCTATGATCCCCCAGAATTCCAGACTATATTTGTCGGGGATAGCAAAACACAGTATCACATGGGATATTTCAGGTATTAATATATGCTCTTGCTGGAGTGTAATTAGATGTAGCTTTTTCTCTTTCTCTCCATCCCCCCCTGCATATTTGAGAGTTTTGCACTATGACCAAACAAGGATCTCTTTCCTGTAGCAGGACATTAACGCATGGGTTGATATCATGTGTTAAAAAGGATCACAGATACTAGAGCTGAAGGCTATATTTAAATAGTTATTGAACTAGCCCCTAACCCTCCTGAGCACCTTCATTCATTAACCTTTAACTCTTGCCATGATACCTAGAAGTCAAGCCTTAGGATATAAAGGGAATGTGTTTTCTCTCGGCATGTATTGATACAATGTCCTGGGTTCAACAGTAGCAGTCATTTTTTCTTCTTCTTAGTGGCTGGTGCAGTGCTGTGTTTTTGACTTTCAGCCTGGGAGCAATGCCGTATATCGTGGAACCACGACATACAAGTTCCTTTCAAAGCCATGTTGTAAAGTTTTAGAGCTTTAGATCTAAGGGTGTTTCATGTTAGGTTTCTGAATGAGATGGCAGCATGGTGAGGAGGCAAACTAATCCTACTTTGAAATAGGAGAAATAGACACAGTTTGACTATTTATTTGTGGGGTTTATTTTTTTCTTTTCATAAATAGGGATGTTCCAGATGAGCTTCCAGTGTGGGTTGGTGCAAATGAAGCTAAGAAGAGCTGTGTGATTTCACAAGTTGGTGATAATGTCTTTGCTGCAGTCAAGTAAGGTTCATATTTATTTATAAAGGGTAGAGTGGAAGAGAAATTAATTGGGAGATGTGAATAATGCAGTGAACTTACTACATTTCTCCAGAAATCCTCACTTTTCTGCTCATGTTAGCAAGTGTTAAGGTATTCTTAAAAGCATTAATAGGCTTCTAGACAGTGTTTTCCTTTTACAAATAAAATAAATGTTAATTATCTCATTCGTTACTTATATTGGCAGGGGTATGCTCTATAGGAAAAAAAAATGCCCACTGGGTGTGTTAAAATATTTCATAAGTAAAGAAAGGGCATCTCAAAAAGTGGTGAAGGAAACCTGGCTGTTGTACTAAACTAATATCTTGTAGTTGTTGTTCTTGCTTACAGAAAAATGCGTAGTTTCCGTATATAATGAATAACTACAAGAAGTACCACTTCTGACCTGGTGCAGGGTAACATTTATATGGAAATGTAATTCAGTATGATTCATGAAGCTTTACATGGTCCTGCATCATGAATGTAAACAAGAGATTTCATCAGCTGTCAGTTAAGAATGGAAAGCTTTCTAAGGACAGACGTGTGTCAGTAAGTGGAAGCACACTGAAGAATAGCTTCTGCAAAAGAACCCATGTGTAGAGCAGAGTTAAATGAGGACTTTTTTTTTTTTTTTGAAAGCACCATGATGAACCTCATGAATATGTATTTGTGTGTGTGACTTGGATGACAAATGGTGTATACAGCACTGAAGCAGCAAACTGAGTTCTTAAGATAGTAAGATGAACAGCCACTGAGTTCAGGAGAATCTCAGCACCTGCAGATTGCATAAACTGTACTGTAATGCAGAAACAGGTGGAGAAATGCCAAAGTACTGTCAGTGATAAACTTTTTTTCTTTCCTCTTAAGAGGCTTGCATTCCCAAGTCTCTGTGTATAAATAAACCCATGACTGCTGATCTTCATTATAAGATTTGCAGGTTTAATGATTAGAAGGCTATTTGTTTGTTTCCTGTTAAGCTCTTTTAAGACGTGTTTCTTCTGTTTGCAGATTATTTTTGTCAAAGAAACTTAAGGAAGCGACTGATAAAAAGAAAACTGCTGTTTTGAAAGACATAGATGAAAAACTAACAAGAACAGCAAAAGAACTGGGTTATTCTCTGGAACAAAAAACAGTGAAGATGAAACAGAGAGATAAGAAAGTATGACTTTCCTGATCCACTGGAGAGAATAAGTTCTGTTACCCTTCTTAATTTACTTGCCTGTTTCTTTTATTACTTTCAATTCCTTCTAGTCAGTAAGGATGCTTTGTTTAGGAATTTCCAGAGCTAATCAGCACTTTCAAACTTTGGGAAAGAGGAGATCAATACAAGTGTATTCCAAATAATAGGATTAAATCAAAACACTTTATTCTTGTAAATCATAGTTTGGCATTCCCATTGAAACAAACAAACAAAAACCAGACAGGAAAATAGTCTAAAAGCTAAGCGAAGTGGGGAGCATGGGGAAAACTGCTTCAAAGTGAAGGTTCTTGTAAACAATTGGGTGGGATCTCTTTATCATTAAGGATTATATGGATTAGTAACAGAGGTTTTTTGCATACCCATCATAAATAAGTATAGGAAGTGACTAAACAACTATAGTAAGGTACTGCACTACATGGGTGACTACAAGGATTCCTAGATCGTAGAATGTGACTGAAATGGAATTTCCACTTATTTTAAAGTTCAGTACTTAATAGTAACTTCCATATGATTTGAAATTAAGTTGATGTCCTGGGGCCTGGATGCTATGTTAGGTTTGATGGCCAGCAGTCAGGTGTTAATACTGTTCAGTAAGGTAAGGGGTTTTGTGGCACATTTTTGACTTGCAGCACTGTATTCAATTTCCGCTCTCTCTAGGTTGTGACCAAAGCATTTCATGGAGCAGGCCTAGTTGTTCCTGTAGACAAAAATGATGTCGGATACAGAGAACTTCCAGAGACAAATGGTAAATGTCTGGTTTGCAATGTTCTTCTGCTTTATTGAAGTAAACAACCCTCAGTCATAAAGCTACTCTGCAAAATGCAAACTGCATTCATATTTCCTATTGGAAGAAGAGTGATTGGCATAAAAAGCCCAAGTTGTAATACTTTGAGCTCAAGTGTAGTTTTCTTTAAATGAGCAGATGACAATCAATGAACCATGCTAAATCTAAAATAATAGTTCCTAAAACAGTAGTTCAGACACCTTACTCTTACGTATTGGCACAGCCATGCAGGAGGTAGATCCAAGAAACTGATCAGGGATTTGTGGATGTTTCTCATCCTCTTTCTTCTCCCAGTGTTGTTCTAACCAGAATTGGTTCCTTCATGCAAGGTCACCACACAAGAGCCTGTTTCTGTTACGGGGAATGTGATGTGTGGGCATGGGGCAGGAATGAGCAGCAAAGGAAAGGGGGAAAGCTTTTTTAGCAGCAGCTCAGGGTGTGCCCACTTAGACCTCATGTAAGTGCAACACACGAGTGCTTTTCCCACAAGCTACTTCTGTGCAACATTAAATTTCTTTCTTTAAACACCTAAATATTTCTGCTTTTGTGTTTTGCAGCTAATCTGAGAAAAATCTGTAAGGCCATTGTTGATGCTTCCACTGATGATGAGAGACTGAAGGCCTTCGCACCCATTCAGGAAATGCTGACCTTTGTTCAGTTTGCTAATGATGAATGTGACTATGGGATGGGGTATGAACTGGGTATAGACCTGTTCTGCTATGGATCACATGTGAGTACCACAAAATTACCTGGTGTTTTATGCATGGACTAAGAGTTGTTTTGTGTTGTAGATCTTGATTCCCAACTGTATTGCATGATTATCCCTAACAGTCATGGAAGTCTACAAGACTTAATTTGTGAAAACTACAAGACTTAATTTGTGAAAACTGCTTAAAAAAAACCCAAAAACATGCTTAGGAGATTATTTCATGCTGAATTTAAAGTTGCTTGTATGAAAGCCCAATCATGCACAACAACTGTTGTGATTTGATGCAAGACAGTAAGTTGTCATTAGAGTCCTAGAAGTGCAGAACGTCTGACCCAGAGACACTGAATAGCTGTAGCCCCTGTCCCCAACTGCTTGCGTAGGCACAAGTGCTGTACTCAGCTGGGTCAAGAAACAGACTGATGTTTGTAGTAACCCCAGCTGGAGGAATCTGAGCCTTGACCAGCTGCCGAGCTCCCCTGCCTGTAGGGCTGCATAAGAGACCTCCCAGCATGTGTCTTGTTCTGGTTCTGTGTTAGCAACAAACGTGGACTTACCAGCGCTTGGTCACATGTAGAAATTACACTTAACACTGACCAACTCCTGCCATGACAAATTAAGTCTTCACAGTGCTGTGACATATCCTGAGATCTATCTTAGGCAGCAGTTCGAAACAAAAAGCTGTAATTTAGTAACTGTTTTCTAAAAATAGAAACCTTCCTTCACTTGCTGTTTTCGTAAACGGAAAGAAAAAACAGTGGCTTCACACAGAACTCACAACAGGACTTGGTCCCTGTGTTCTGGCCTGTCTGTAGATGCTTGGGGCTTGTTGGTTCTGTCTGGAGCCTGGCCGTCCCCTTGCTTACAGAGCCAAAACAAACACCCACACTGAGGCTGTAGACTAAGACATGCGAAAGGACTTAAACCTCTTCCCTCTCATATGGGAGGCATAATGAGGTTACAAGTACAGTAACTGTCACAGATTCTAAATACTCTTGTACATGGGGAGCACTTAAATGGCTCCTGTATGTACAGTCCCCATCCCCTCAAGCTGTGGAGTGTGACAGGACATGGGGCTTTAGCCAGAGGCTGGGCAGCTGCGGGCCTTAATTGTAGCTGTCATCTTGTATGCTGATGAAAATAGATGTCCATCTCTCCCTGCAGCCGTTGAGGTAACACAGCCTGACCTTGCTGTGATGGTTACTGATGTAGTACAAGTATGTGCTCCAAGTGTGCGTTTTGCAGCTGAAAAGAGCAGCTTGCCCCATGCCCAGCCTAGAGGCATGGTGGCTCTGGCTGGGTGGGCAGAGCCACTGATCTCAGCTGTGCTTGTTGTCCCTCTCGCCTGCAGTACTTCCACAAGACGGTGGGCCAGCTGCTGCCCCTGGCCTACACGCTGCTGCAGAGGAGCCTGTTTGCCGACATCATTCAGTCGCACTTGGCCAACCGTCGGGGGGAGGCGCCGGGACAGC